CTCCCCAGTGGTTAAGATGTCTTCCATTAGGGTTATCTTGGGTTTAGCTGCTACACTTGATTTAGAGATTGAGCAGTTGGATGTGAAAACTGCATTTCTTCATGGTTACTTAGAAGAGGAAATTTATATGGAGCAGCCTGAAGGTTTTGTGGTGAAGGGCAAAGAAAATGATGTTTGCAAGTTGAAAAAGAGCTTGTATGGTTTAAAACAAGCACCAAGGGTTTAAAACAAGCCACCAGGCAAGTGGTATAAAGAGTTTGAGTCTATTATGGTTCAGCAAAGGCTAACAAGAAAGACTACTTCTGATTATTGTGTTTTATGGTGCAAAATGACTTTATCATTTTGCTGTTGTATGTTAACGATATGCTCATTATAGGTCCTAACTCCAGAATTATCAATTTGAAGAAAGACTTGAGCAAGTCTTTTTCTATGAAGGATTTGGGCCCGGCAAAGCAAATTCTTGGCATAAAGGTCATTTGTGACAGAAGATGCAAGAAATTATGGCTTTCACAAGAGAAGTACATTAAGAAGGTACTACAACTGTTCAATATGGCTATGGCTAAGGCTATAAGTACACCTCTCCCTACATCTATTAGATTGAGTGTGAAGCAGTCTCCTTCCAATGAGCAAGAGAAAGAATTGATGCAAAAAGTTCCTTATGCATCTGCAGTAGGAAGTTTGATGTATGCTATGGTTTGTACTAGACCTCACTAGACCAGATATAGCTCTGCTTTGTACTAGACCAGATATAGCTCATGCAGTTGGTACAGTTAGTAGATTTCTTTCTAATCCAGGTAAGGAGCATTGGAATGCAGTTAAATGGATATTGAGATATCTCTGTGGTACTTCAGGTTTAAAGTTGTGTTTTGGGTCTGAAAAGATTATGCTTTGTGGTTACACTGATTCTGATATGGCTGGGGATATTGATTCTAGAAAGTCTACTTCTGGGTACTTGATTACATTTGCAGGGGGAGCTGTGGCATGGCAATCCAGGTTGCAGAAATGTATTGCTTTATCTACTACAGAGGCTGAGTTCATTGCAACTATTGAAGCATGCAAGGAATTGCTATGGATAAAAAAGTTTGTGAATGAGCTTGGCTTTACTCAGGAAAGGTATATTTTATTTTGCGATAGTCAGAGTGCTATTCATCTTGGTAAGAATCCAACTTTTCATGGTAGATCTAAACATATTGATGTGAGATATCATTGGATCCGTGATGTTTTGGATTCTAAGTGTTTTGGATTCTAAGTCTTGAGCTTGAGAAGATCATACGGATGATAATGGTAATACGGATTATGTGCACAAAGTTCTACCAAGAATGAAGTTTGAAGTATGCCATTTGAGTGCCGGTTTGGGCACCTCTTCCACATAGTCGGGAAGGGGGAGAATTGTTGGGTTTGGGTTCCATTCCTATGTGGTAAAAGCCCATATTTTGAAGTCTATTAAACTAATTATGTTTTATAATTTTGCCCCTCAACTTACAGCCATATTTATGATATTTTTGGCTGCTATTTGATTGATTCACACATCCAAAACCGTGTGAGAAAAACTAAAAAGAAGAGGAGAGGAGAGGGATTTTTTCTGCACAGCCCCCATCCAGCACCAGCCATCGTGTTCTGGAGATTCCCGGAGTTCCAACCGTTGACCGGATTGACGCTGTAATAGGAGAGCGTTCGGAGTTCCAAACCGTTGGATCTTTGTGATATTTGGGGATGCTTGTTTCACTTTACTACCTGCCTCGGTGTCCTTGCGGCAAGAATACCCTTCGGACCCCGGAAGGGAGATTTTATGAATTTGTAGGAAACGGGTTTCATAGATTGAGTTTGCTTGTAAGAAGCATGCTGATCTGCTGCTCAACATCTGGTTCTATATCTCTATGTTATCTTCTTGAGAGCGGTTCTCGGCAATCACCCTTGTGTCCGGCGATGTGTATCGCCCTGTATTTTTTCTTGGTGCAAAGGAACCATAAGATGAGTAGTTAACATGGCGCAAATTCTTTGCACGCGCACACAAAAGTTTTTACATTATGGAATGAAAGTAGAATACAGTTTTAATATGTGAGTTTAGAACAGTAGAGGCTGTGATTAATTCGTGATGCACTCCCATTGTGTTGCTACATCAGCCATTTGGTTTGTGGTTGTATGGATGGTTATATGTTGATTCCGCATACATATTGGTAGGGTTGTAGCTTGTGTATATATAGTAAAAGACATATTTGCGTGAGATTCTAGTGAACCATTTATTTCCTTTGGAACCCGGAGAAAAGAGAGGTCCCGAGCGGCTGGTTTTGTATCGCCATTTAACAGCATGCGCCGAGCGAAGAGCACCAAAGCGTAAAAAATCTATAGTTGTGTTCGTGTGGGTGAATGTTATTTTGATTGTGGCAGAATTTGGGGCTAGCGTTGTGTCTACTATGAATTTATTACTCATTGTTACTACGACCTATCTGAGATTACATTCCAAGTGGTGTGTGAAGTATGATTATTGGTGGTAGTTGAAATTGGCTGTTTACTTCCCAATCATAACTCAAAGCTTCTCGCACTATCGAGTCGATATGATGTATCATTATTAAATTTTTTAATATAAATTTAATCTGAAAAATTATCTACTTCAACAAACGCAACGTCGTGACGAAGCGCGGGAGGAGAGAGTAGCCGAATAGTACTACCGATTATAATATGGAAGATCAAATAGATTTTCTCCAATGCTGACGTGGCAGCTTCCTCTAAATTAGAGAATATCGTACATTGTTGAATATTGTGATTTAATCTTTTTTTCTCTCTTTCTTTGGGAATTAATTGTTGGAGCATGCTATTTTCTTTTGTTTCATGCTAGCACTTTTTTTTTGTCCTAGTCAATTACTTTCCAACATGAGAAGTTGTCTTTCAATTGATGTGGGTCGAGTATTCTTTAATATTTAAATCATTCAATTATAGGCCAATATCACAAAAAATTAGCAAATATTGTATGCGAAGTGTTTTAATAATTGTATGAATTTTCGTATAATGTTACAACTTAATACTCTATAGTAACGAATGTATTCTCATTTGATTTTTAAAATTCAAGTAATAAATCATTTGATCTAATTATTTGTTATTATTTATCTTATTTGTCAGAATCATTGTAAGATTGTGCATGATTTGGGGCAGCTTGTGTTACTTGAATTTATTACTCATTGTTACTCCTAATAGATTCATTCAAGTGGGGAAGTTTTTATTGTGGAGTTAATTTGTGTTACTTCCCATCATATCAAACTCCATCATCATTGACATTTTAATTTTTTAATAATTTATTGAAAAATTATATTCAACAAAGCCGTGCGAAGCACGGGAGAACATCCGGTATATATATATAAAGGAGAATCAATAGATTTTCTCCAATGCTGACGTGGCGCTTCCTCTAAAATTGAGATTGTACAGATTTTGAATATTTGATTATCTTTTTTTTTTTGGGAATTTTTGAGCATTTTTCTTTTTTCATCCACTTTTTTTTGTCCTATCATTTACTTTTCAACGATGAATTGTCTTTTCATTGTTGTGAGTTTTAAATTCATTCAATTATGGCAATATAAAAAATTCAAATATTTCAATTATATTTTTTATATTTTTATAATTTAAATATATATAAAGTTTTTCATTAGTTTTTAAATTCAAATAAATATGCTATTTATTTATTTATTTATTTGTCAGAAATCAAATATGTAAAAGAAAAACAACACAATTTCTAAATCTTTAAATTTTCATAATTTACAAATCATCGTATATAGCTGAAACAAAGAGAAAGTTTAAAGCGTTTTTTTTGTTCAACATTTTATTTTTCTTTTTCATAAATTTTTAAAAATTTTCTGAAATTTTTTATATTGTGATTAGACAACTTAAATATTTGAATTAATAGTTTACTCTAAATTGTCCAGATTAAATTATTTAAATCACTCAACTTTATATGAAAGTTGAAATAGTGATTGGACAACTTAAATATTTTAATTAATAGTTTACTCTAAATTCTCCATCATAGTTTTGAAAATCGGATCGGACTGACCGGTTCGACCGGTTTAACCGGGAATCGGATAATGGTCTAATCCGGGTTACATAGAAAAACAAAGAATTTTAAAAATCGGCATAAATCAGTAACAACCGGATGAAAAACCGCCCAAAAGTCGTGAACTGGATCGGTTAAAAACCAGTTCGATTCAAAATCTGGGTTTTTATCTCTAATTCTGGGCCTTTATAAAATTTGAGCCTCTTAAAAGTTGGTATCAAAAATTTTTTTATCCTATACTTTCAATTTTATTTAAAAATATTATATATAAAAATCCGGTTGAACCCTCCAGTTCAGTGAACTCCTACTTCATCAATTCAATGACAAGTTCGGTTCTCAGAATACTGATTTAAATCACTAAGCTTTATATGAAAGCTGAAACAAAGAGAAAGTTTAAACAACATTCTACTTTCCTTTTTTTAGAAATTTTAAAAAATTTTCTTTATCTTTCTATATTGTGATTAGTCAATTTAAATATTTTAATTAATAGTTTACTCTAAATTATCTATATTAAATAATTTAAATCACTAAACTTTATCTATATCCTAAAACACATTATTTGAGTTGGTTAAATTCTAAACTACCTAAAGTTCAGCTGAATTTTTAAATTGAAATACAAACTATAGTTTCTATATAATTCTACTCCCTGAATGAATGAGTGTTATCTCTTTCATAGCATGGTGCTTTGTTTTTTTATTCCTTTGGTTTAGTTCTCTCCAATTTCCACTCTCTTAATTATTTTTGTTACACCTTATATATTTTATGGCAATAGCTTGCTTACTTGCTACAATTTTTTAGCCACAATAAAATGTCACAACTAATAAGATGTTATAGCCATGCAGTGAATATAACTGTAGCGATAATTATTCTACTTGCCACAACAAATTAGCTATAATAAAGTATGTAGCTAATGAAAAATATTAGTGATAGCCTTATACCACTCATGGCAATAATTAACTCATTAGCTAGCCTTATGTCTCTTTTAATACAAGGTCTTTACTCTTTACTTTTTAATTTCATAAAAAAATAAAATAAAAATAAAAAGTTTTGCCTTCATCCGGTCCTCTGCTCCATTATTTTTTATTGTCTCTCTCATTTCTTTACATGTCGCCCAATAATCTGATGAGAGATTGACATAAGCAGACATCTATGCCGCGAGAGGCCATCTCCACTGTAAGGTTTTCAATTATGCAGCGATTTCTGGGTTTTTGTTAAGATATGGGTTTTCAACCATCTATGAGTTCTTAAAATAATTGAGTTCCATGAATCTTCAGTCTCTTTGTTCTCCTCACTTTGTTGTTCAAAGATAAGAAGCGTGTTTCTCTTTTTAATTTAAGTTAATTTTATCTTTCTTTTGGAAATTTGTTTATTAATTCTTAATTTAATTTCCTTGTAGGTGTTTGATGAAATGACTAAGTTAAGAGTAATTGAAAACATCAACCACAGGTCTTCTTGTTGGTTTTAATCATTGGGTAAAACTTAGGCTGTAAAAGGTATCTACTAAATAGATTTAATTGAATCATATTATTTTATAGGCATTTTCTTTTTGCTAGACATTTTATTGCTTACTATTTTTATCCTTTTCTTTGTTGTTTAATTTAGTTTCTAAAAGTTTTTGTATTTGATTGATTAATTATGAATTTTTTATTTGATCTTGTTCATTTGTTTCTGTTTAGTTTGAAAGCCAATAAAATTCCATTTTTGTCAAGGTTTTTATGGTTCTTACCTATCAATCCTTTATGCTTCACAGAAATTTGATTTCTTCTACTCTGTTCAACAGGTAAATGTAATTAATTTATTAAACTTATTTAGGTTTTGCCTTTTCCCTCTCATGGTTAATGATTTTTAGTTTGTGATTATAATGGCCAAGGTCATCCGTGTCATAAAGCATAGTTGATGTTACCCAACTTTGCTAAAACCTGTGGCTGATTTTGAAATTCATGGATGTGATGGAACTTACCCATCAAATGTGATTCTAGTAATACCTTAATCAAAATGAGGTACTTCACTGATCCTATATATTTCTTTTGGACATAAACCAATGGTTTTATTTTAGCATATTTCCAGTTTTTCCAGAGCATAGTTAAAGCACTTTGGTTTTGGTTATTTCAACTTTTTGTATTATCTGTTGCTTCCTTTGTTGGATTATCTTTCTTTTTATGTCAATGTAGTCCTTTGCACGAGTTAACTCATAATTGAGATCATATTTAATTAAAGAAAAACGAGTAGAAGGAAAGATAACTTACAAAAAAAAATTGATGAGTAAAAAAACTAAAAGAGAAAAAAAATCTTGTTAAAAAAGTTATCAGTTAATGTTCTATGTGCCCTGTATTATTCATAGACGATGTTGCTATTTTCTTGATCATGCAAAAGTAATAGAATTTCAGAACATATTTGAAGAGATTGAAATTGTATTCTTCACATTCTTTCATTTACCTTTGTAAAGTATACAAATATGAATTTGTTCTCTCTCTCTCTCTCTCTTTTTCTTCAATTTCAGGAATGCATTTGCTCTTTTATCTCACAGAAACGTTTGTTTTGATGAGGTTGTATCAATTTCATTTGAGACTGAAAAGTAAAAGGATTCTTGATGCTTACCAATTTTTTGGGACAAGGTGATGGCCCATTGTAATTGATTTCACAGGAGTAAGAAAGGGTGAAGTATGTGTAAATGGACAAACCAACAATGTATCTACAGATAATGATCTAGTGGAAATTGTATTTGAATTTTTTAGATATGAATTATTTATTTTTTACACATATTTTTGTATTAGTTATATATTAAATATTTATTTTATAATTCAACAATTTTTTATATTTATTTTGCTCTTTAAGGCTAGAAAAATTATGTAAACAATATTAGAAAATAAAAAATATAAAAAATTGGCAACATATTACAAATGGATTACAATTGCATATCAATGAATTTAGTGATGGATGTGAAATAACTTTTATTGGAGAAAAAAAAAAAGAAAAATTATTATTGTAGATTTATTATTTGTGGCAAGTAAATTTAATTTTTAGCTTTAATGAGTTTATCTAATCATAGCTAAATGTAAATGTATTTCCATTATGTGTTGTGGCAGGATGTTTTATTATTTAGTTATAAAAATAATAGGCATAACTAAAATAAAAATATAGCCATGAGTTTTAGCTTTCATGGCTAACATTTTGTTATGGATGTTTTTTTCATAGTAAATAATTTCGACGATTTAGCCACAAGTCAACAATTGCATGGCTAGAAATATTAATATTTAGCTATAAATGACTTAAATCCCATAGTTAATTTTTAGCTACGCCACTTCTTACTACGACATACTGCAGGAAAAATGTATAGTGGCAAAAATATTTAGCCATGAAATTTTGTATTCTAGCCACAATGTGTTTTATGGCTGTAGATGTGTTTTGTTGTAGATGGAATGCAAGCACTAAAGTTATTCAATAGCTGGTATTAGGAGTTGAGAAGGATTAAAATAGTGTTTCTTTACTCATTTCGTGGAAATCGTCTTTGAAGAAAGAAAGGTACGCCGTTCATATAACACTTCAGATCAAAATTTTGGTTTTTTTTTTTTTTTTTTTTAAATCTTAATGCTTATAAAATAGTTGTTTTACTGAATAATTGTGTTTCATTTCGTTTTGAATGCTTCTATTATTAAAAAAGCTGAGTAAAAAGTTAGGGTTTTGGTGTAGCATATACCTGGAGAGTTAGAAATAGACAATGATGCTCTGTTTTTTCATTACAAGATGTCTTTCCCTCAATACTTTAGGATATTTGTTAATTTTGGGGCTAGGGTAGCAACTATCTCATATATCGACACTGATAGGTATTCATATTGTGAACTGGTAAAAGATATCTACAAGTTTCTCAGAATTAATGCTACATTTCTTGAGATAAGTGTACACAGTATAATGACAATTGAAAGAGATGAGGATTTATTGGCAATGTTTGAGATGTTCAGGGAATATAGGGAGGCTGAAATTAATGTAATTGTGAGGAATATAGAGCCCTCGGCTTTTGAAAGACCACCTGGTGATGATGGTGAGGCTATTGTTTTTATGAGAGAATGTTCTGGGGTTGACAGTAATAGAAATTGTGTGCCACTTGAAGTTTCTGACATTCTTGAACATAGACCAAGTCAATTCGGAATAACATTGACTTGAATTCTAAGATGCCTGAACAAGATAACCTATTTAGGGAAAGGGAAGTGAGTTGAATATAGGTATTCATGATACTCAATAAAGTGAAGTTCCTAATATGGGAAATGTGGGTAATATTGGTGGTGTTGGTGGTAGTCAAAAGAACCAGTTAATAGATGGTTCTCGTATATGGTTGTAGGGTTGAGGGGGGTGTTGATAGGGGTAGGGGTGTTAATAGGGATGTCAATAGACGTGGATCGAGGGGTGTTAGTAGAGGCAGGGGTGGAGTGAGGAGTGTTAGTAGAGGTATGGGTAGAGTGGCTATTGTTGATAGAGACAAGGGTGGTGCAGAGGTGGATGCTAGAAGAGGCAGGTCTGTAAGTAATATGTCTAGGACTGCATGTAGAAGGGAAGAAAGTGAAGTACCACATGGAACTATGAGCATAAGGGCAAAGACTCCAGCTGAGAAGGGAAAAAGGCCAATGCATTCTTACAAATTGAGGAAGAAATCATCTCATTCCACCCTTGTAGTGGATGATAATGGGTTAGATGGTACAGACTCAGAAGATGAGGTTTTCCAATGCTTTGAGTCATCATCAGATGAAGATGATATACCTGACCCTCCAAGAGCAGATGATAATAGAGGGGTAGATGAAAGTGTTGCTGCAATGTGGAAATGGAGGATGAAGATTCAGAAGATGGTTTGAGTGGTATTCAAAGTGGGGATGATGAGAGAGAAATTGCTGACAGTGAAGAGGAAGGTGTTGGGAATTATTATAGTAAAGGAAGAAGAAGAGGTGATCCTTTCCAAACAATATAGTCTAATGAGTTCATTGATTCAGGAATATGGTGACATCAACTTTGAGATAGGTTAGATCTTCAGTTTTGTTGATGATGTGAGGAATGTAATAAGAGACTACACAGTGAAAGGGGGATGTTTCACTAAGTGGGACAAGAGTGACTTTGACAGGGTACCTGTGACATGCAAAGTTGAGAATTGCAAGTGGAGATTGCTTATAGATAAGATGAAATTCATGATTAAAACCATGCAAGGAGAGCATACATTTGTAAGGCCAATTGGCAACAAGAACCCTACTGCAACATCAAAATGGATAAAGAAGAAGCTTCTAGATCAGTTGCAGGCAGACCGTGGAATGAGTTATGAACTAATGGAGAATGAGCTTTCAAAGAACGTGGCATCACAGTTGAGAAGTGAAAGTTATATAGAGCTAAAAATACAACTAAAGAGAATGTAGAGGGGTAGTAGAAGGGAAAGATGATCTATTTCGGGGTTGGTGGCACGATTTGAAATTAGAATTCTTCAGGCAATCGGCATGCGATCCCCCTGATTTGGTCCCATTCGGATATTTCTAATCGTGTTACGATAAGATTGGAAAACTCGGGTTTGAGTTGGTAGAGAAATGGGATCATACGACGTAGTTTTTTTGTTCATTTTTTGATAATGATCCAATCAAAGGAATAATTAGAACTATTGTATTGAGTTGGGTTGCGGGTTTTTTTTTCTAACAATCAGGACCCTCCCTTGTTAAACTTGAACCATCTCAGAGGGTACATTGCAGCTGTGCGAAGGTTCAATCCTAGAACCCTTGTTAAATTTGAACTAAAAGAGAGAAATTCAGAAGCTGAACCTATTGTGTTTGAACATTTATTCATGTGTTTTATGGCTTTGAGGGATGGATTTATAAAAGGGTGCATGCCTTTTATAGGACTTGATGGCTATCACCTAAAAGGTCCTTATGGGGGGAGTATTTCTATGTGCTGTAACCCTTGATGGTAATAGGGGGTCCTACCATTTGCATGGGCTGTATTAGAAGCAAAGTGCAATGCTTCTTGGAGATTCTTTATGGACTGTCTCCATTAATTCATTGGGCCAAGAACCCAGGACCACCCTTGGACCTTCATGTCTGATCGACAAAAGGTAACATCCTTTTCATGCTTTTATATTACAACCATGTGAGTTATGTGTTGGGAATCTATACATTGCATGCTTTGTGTGTTCGACTTTTCTGTCTTGTAATTTTTTCTTTGTTATTATTGCTTTTAATACATTTGTCTGTCATTATGCCATGTTATGATATTTTGATGATATAGTTGCATACTTTCAAAACACGGTTTAGGAATATTTTAATGAACTTTAGAAAAGAATTTCCTGGGTTGAGTTCGAGAAAGGAGTTTTAGGCTGCAGCAAAATCGACCTATAGTCAAGAGTTTAGGATTCACATGGGCAATACTGAAAAGAAACTTGATGGTAAACCCATGTATGGCTTATGAAGATACCCTTAACACAGTGGTGTAGGCATGCATTCTGGCCTGAGGCTAAAAGTGAACAGATGTCCAATAATATGATAGAGTCATTTAATAGCTGTGTTGGGAAACTTAGGGCTATGCCAATTGTGCCTCTATTGGATTATTTAAGGAGGAAGTGTATAGTTTGCATAAAAAGTTTGCAAAGGGATCTTTATGGGAAGGAAAATTAACTCCTACAAGTATGAATGATATTAAGAGGATAATGAGATAGAGTACATGCTGTAGAATGCTACCAAGTACCACAAATGAATTTGAAGTAAAAAAAGATGCATTCTCATTTGCAGTTGATTTAGGGAAAAAAACTTATAGTTGTAATTGGTGGGCGATTTCTGCTTTACCTTGTAAACATGTTATGTTGGCCATAGGGTACAAGAGGGAAAATGTTGAGGATTATTGTGATGCTTATTTCACAATTGAGAATTAAATTCAAGCTTATAGTGGTGTAATCCATCCAATTCCTGAAGTAGACTATGAGCCACAAAATGAAAGTGATTGCATTTTACCACTTAATGTTAAGAAAAAATTTGAGAGACCCAAAATGAGGAGGATTAGGCAAAGAGGGAGAAGGACCTGCAAGTACTATTTGCACTAGGACAAGGACTATTAGGTGTAAGAGATGTAACAAGCTAGGCCACAACATAAGGACCTACCAGCAAATAGCAACTCAATAGGTCACTTCTGCTTTATTGTCCTATACATTTCTTAATAAATTTTGTGATTTCTTCTTAAAGCCTTAGCGTATGGTACAATTGATTCTTAATTTTTGGTTTTGTTTTGCAGTAAAGGAAAAGAGCTCAAGCAGAAATAGTACAAGCCTTAACCGGTGCATCAAGTGTGTCTGGGCTAGGACATGAATAATAACAGTAGTACCATAGTTACATTTTTCTTGGAAATTTTTTGTTTTAGAAATGTAGCACCTTTTGCTTTTTTTATTTGCAAACTATTTTGCAAATCTTAGTTTAAATGCTGATATAGATGCAGAAATTATTTTTTGGTCACAGATTAAATGGCATTTGTAATAAGAAATATACTAGAATCCATGTTGTAGATTTCTTATGGCAAATACATGTCAAAACAATGTATGACAATGATATTTAATCAATGAATGACTTTTCATTACTTTGTTAATATGTGCACTGATTATATATATTGATGTTAGCAATGGAAAAGATGAAACATAATAATTTTTCATATAATTCATTCCATTTCATTTGAAATCAAAAAGTAGGAACAAAAGGATAGCTGAATGAGCAACCCATTACACATACAATCTACCAAAATAAATACCAAGCCTT